AACCCAAGTGTGAACTCGTTGTCGTCGCGCGAGATTGTTGCGAGATAAGCTGCGGCGTTATCGCAAATATGCATTGATTGTGACTCACGCATTGTACGAAGGTAAGACTCGAAAGCTGCGGAGGGATCGACGCGCGCCGAACGAATTCGTTCCTCCTCGAGCACCCATAATGGACGAGGACACGGCACGGATGAGAGCGCGCGACAGTGTAACCGGAGCGTTTTACATTGATATTAGCATATCATAACTAGCTTCGTCACGATAGCCTCGCGAATCGATCGTCCCCGTGGTCGCGCATGAAACGATCCCTCCGGCACGTACGTATCTCCGCGCCAGTGGCGTAACTAACGTTTAAAGGGCCTCCCGGCGTAAGCGTCCAACCGCCCTCCGTCGCATCGTACCGCCCTCGGGTACAATTCAGATAAATGCGATAAATAAAAATTCAAACGGGACAAACGGACGCACACAAACTGGGAAACCGGGAATACACAGTCGAAAAACGTAATACCTCTGGGTTACGAAACCGTAGATATTTTTATACGTGCTCTTCATACATTCTCGTTCATCTGCTTCAGCTCTCTCGTGTTTTATTTATTTCCCCGGGTTACGCGTGTATATATATATATATATATATATATTGTTAGCAGATTAAACTGCTGGAATTTCTTCATTGTGTTCTTTGTAATATTGTGTTTGTTTGCTTTTAATTCTCCCATCTCTCTTTCCATCCGGCTCATTTCTAAAGAACCCTTTGTGGTTTTTTTTCTCTCTTTCCTTTTTTACCTTCTCTCCTAACGTCGAGATTGTATGCTGTGGATGTTGTTGCTGTTGCACGCGTACGATCAGGGAAATCAGGATAGCGTTGATACGAGAGAGGCGGCCAGACAGGTACGCTCAGACGTGTGTACACTATATATGTACGTACGTACGGAATCTTATCTGCGGCCGTGGATTATCGAATTTCCGAGCGTTAGATTAGATTTCTCGACGACCACGCGGCGCTCGGCGCACGGCTATGCTCGTTTCTGAAAATAAACGCGTACGACGATCCCGTCATCGTTGCCAGTACTCCTCCCGGCGTCGTATATAATGTGTCGCGCCCTCGAGACGTGTATATAGTACAGTGCATACAGGGTGACTCGGGTGTACGCAGTGTCACGAAGAAGACTCATCTCTGAAGTTATTGGGAATGTTTTGCAAGTAAACGCATAATACCATCCTCTCCTCTATCCACCGAAATATTTTCTTTTAGATATTTTTCCTCTCTCTCGGTGCGGAAAATTCAACCGCGCTTAATTCGCTTATTAAGATTTTTCACCTACGAATATATTGTGGCGATTAAATTGACTGAGTGAGAATCACTGGGAATTACAGTTGAAGTCGCGCTTATCGAAGTCGGAAACGGGCTTTAATGATTCGTACACAGACTTATCCATCGTTCCTGGAGAGAGACCGTGGGAATCGGCTGAGCAGCGTTGAAATTTCATTCGATTGTAATGAACTTCATCGAAGATAATACTGCGTTTGGTGATTTCGGTCGATCAGCGCCGAGATCTGTCGTGATCTCATCGCAACGAAGTTGTTACGATCGTGTATGGACAGATCAGTTTTACTCTCGCAATTATCCAACACGAAATTCTCATGTACGTTCTAATAACCGTTATTACTGCTACACGCAATTCTCGTGCGATCCCGCAGTCGTTACAAATTACTCCAAGTAGGCTAATCTAGGATACGCGCATCTGGTATTAACCTATTTATTACGGGCGCTCTGTTCGAATTCACTGCAAGCCGATTAATATGAATTATGTCAACCACCGCTATTATATAATTAATAATAACCGTGGGACGGTGGATTCCGTCGGAAGATACATTCGCGCGTGCTATCGCCCGCTCCAATATCGATATACATAAGTTTCTTGGGGAGAAACTGCATTATCGCAGCGCGGTTAATTAAAAATTAAGACAGCCGATTTAAAGCAACGCGAGAAAGTGATTATTCGTTGTCTTCTGTCACAATAAAACCCCGTCCGTTTATACTCGTTCGCGAGCCCGAACGGAAGCGCTCGCATTTCCCAGATAGTGATAATCTTTCAACCTGGATTTACCGGGCATCTATTTACGCTCCTGTTTCAGAGAGGCGTTCGAACAGATTGACGGATGACATTTTAATAGGCGTTAATGCTGGACACGTGTCGTGTCGGCGGCCGAGTAATATTACGTCGTTAGGTAGCAAGCTATAAGAGAAACCCGTTAAGGAAGACACGATGGAGGTTTGGTCATACTTAATTGATTGAATCTAGGGTGACCGACCGTGGACGAAAGCTGAAGCTAAACGGAAAAAATGGAACGTATGTGTAGCGACTACGATCGCGTTTCAACGTAGAAATCCGATATCTTCGATTTGGGAACGGTGAAAGTCACGTTCTCCCGGTGAAAGATACCGTGGAAGTTATTCTCACTCTATGACTGGCACTTCGATGGAGTGAATCAGGATAATCGAGAATCACGATCGAAATTGATCATTCGCCCTCATGAATAATCTTCTTCCAGCGCGTAATTGAAATTGCACGTTTTGCCTTTGCGTTAAATGCTTGTTAGTATTTCAAAGCAGTTCGCCGAAGTATAGTTTACCCACGTCGTCAATTACAGACGTCGGAGTCATGGAGCGTGAACTTCCCTCACCCTGGAAACTTGCGCAGCTTCACTGTTGCAAAATGCACACGTACCCTTGATATTACCTGCAGCCAAATTTCGCAGAGCGTTTCTGTTCGCCGAGTTACCCTAACAGTCAATGAATCTACCGTCGTCTTACAATTTACGATATTACGCGCCGTACTCCGGTATTGTGATAACTAAAGGGCACAAGGTGAGTAATAACGGTGGCGGGAACGGCAAAATTTCGTCGCAGCTCTCACCGGTTAATAACGTTATTAGCTGTTACACTCGCGAGATATCGACTTGTTATTGAAATCGCCAGGGCTGGCGCGCGTCTGTCTCATCCGTGGTTCCGCGAGGATCGTCGGTGGCTGCCTCAGAAGAAGGAATCTTCTTTCCACCCTCACACGCTTCCCTTCACGCGCGGAATTACGTAATTATCGACGTTCGCGCGTGACCCCGTCGAAAATGTTCCGCGGTGTCACCGCGCGCTGCGGTGTAACAGCTTTACGATGCACACCTGCCGGCCGGAGCGATTTGACGTTTCTGCGGAACGGCCGTCGCGCTACGCCGAGAAATGCGCGACGTTTAGTCGCCCACGCGAGGTATTGCACCACGCCATGATCGTCGGATCGCTGGCTTCGTAGGTGCGCCGGAATCCGAATCTCGTCATTAATTGGAGAACGATATGCTGCCCAACTATCCCCCGTCCCTCTCGGTTCACCCCCCGACGAACCTTCTCACCCATTTTCCCCCGGGACTTCCGTTAGTGTTTCCACTCGAGCCGAAGTTTTCCCGTGTCGTTAAGCCGGCGAAGCAACGTCGTACTGGCGGCGAAGAATTGATTGTGACCCGGGAAATACGCGTTCGTTCGCGAGAAAACTGCCGCCGGTATTCATCAGCGAGTTTGTATTTGATTAAGCCGGGAATAACGCGCCGGGTAAACGAGGTGGCGCGACGCTTTTGTAATCCGAGGGAAGGAAAGAGCGAGAGAGAGAGAGAGAGGGGGCACGTTTGCAGTGTATCACGCGTTCTCGACGAGCTTGTCACACACTCGCTCGAAAATTGCCACGCCCGTGACAATGACCCGTGCACGTTGGTGCCGATGAATCCGACGAGTTCCGTCGTGCATGCAAGAAAATTGTTAATCCCCCGTCTATCACGTCGCCCGTTAGCCGACAGTCCAAATAAACCTTTAACCCGGGACGAAAAGGAGCGAAACTCGAAATTGGCCGCGTTCAACCCAGTTACGTAGGGCACGTAAATTGGGGAAACAAAACTCCGCGAATTACGAGTGCGAAGCGAAGCCAACTGAAGTCATATATTCACTTGCATCCAAGTGAGGTTTACTTAAGCCAAGTAAAAATTCCTTCCGAATTGTTGGAGTAATTATTTACTCGAGTGTAACTTGAACATTCTTTCACTATGTGTAGAACAGAAGTACATAAAGCGAAATCACACACGGCCGAGCAAAGGGAAATAAACGGGCGGGTGCGAATAAGGGGAGCAAAGGGCGTCTATCTCGTGATTCCGGGTAACCAGACACTATATTACTTATCGGCAACCTTGCTTTCTCCGGCCGGTCGCCTCGACTTTCCGATGTGGGAAATAAGTAAGCGAGAACGATGCTCTCCCTCGCGCGTATACGCACGTGTTGCCGTGCCGGCGACTATTCCCAGCCATTTCCGCGAACGCGTTATTCTCAGTCCACTTTGTCGCGAGACCACTTTCTGCCAAATAGGTCGCTCGGCCGGCAAGCTATTTACTTCGATTCCTCATCGGGGTCGTTTATTAATAGTTCGCGCAAAGTTCGTCTCTCTCTCTCTCTCTCTCTCTCTCCCTCTCCGCTACGAGAGCGAGACTTTCTCCCGTATGTTTCTCGTGATCCGTACTTCTTTCAGCAAAGTTTGCACGAGAACTTTAGTTTGCTCATCGGAGTTTCGCCGGACGGTATTTGACGAGTTCGCAGCGGTGAGCGTAACTCGTCTGCTTCTGATGAAAGTCAGCTCGAACATTCGTACGGAATAATCAGAATCTCCGGACACACCGGGCATTTTCAATTATCACATTTAAAAAGATTACAATTAAGAGGTTTGGCGCCGAAACTAGCTATAACTTTCTATCGGCGCGATCTTTTCAGTCGAGAGGAAAAGAGGCTCGTATCTCAATCTTCCAGCACCAATACCGTCCGTCGAACACCGCCCACGTCACCGAGCGACCCGGAGAACCCATCTCATCACTTTATAAGGCCTCCCAAATCCGATCGTCTGCCGAATCGCCGGCAGCGCGCCCGCTCGATCGTCAGTAACGACATCGCTAATGGGAAACACTTATGATTACAGGTGGATCCATCAGGGGGGAGGTTGAGCCCGGCTCGAACGAGCTCACACCTGGCAGACGGGCTGGCGGCGGAGGCGGCGGTGGCGTCTTGGGGGTCGGTGCCGGCGGCGGGGGCGGCTCGGGGACCCGAGGTTCCTCCGGGGGTGGCCGCTCGAGGGACGAGCCGAGGAGGCACACTCTCGGTGGCGATCATCAGCCCTCCCTTCATCATCAGCAGTTCAACGCGGCGCAGCAGCTGCACCCCCTTCACCCGCATCATTTGCCGCCACCGCACGGCCAATACGGCACCCCACCCTCACGGCACACCACCATGGATCTCGAGGTGAATCTTTGCTCGCGCAACATGTAAATACACACACCATTTATTGTTTTGCGATGACGATCTCTCTGTCTCGATTTCTTCTCTTCTACAACGTCGCAACACGATGTCCACGACGTCGGCATTGCCACCTTTGACCATTGTCTCTCTTTTTTTAATGTTTTCTCTCTACTACGGTTCACACCATAGAGTCTCTCGAGCCGTACGAGACCCCTCTCGTCTCCGTGCTCTCTTTCTATTTACATTTTGTCAAATTCATATTTTATATGTGTCGTAATGCCCGCGTCTTGGTGGAAAAGAGGACGGGACGGAGTTCCGTCGGTTTTTGATTACGGAAACAGAATTCGTTTTCGAGATGTATCGTATAAGAACGTTATTGAAGTTCGATTGTGTATATTTCGCTCGACGGTCATTATAATGTATTAATATAATATATTCGTCGAACGGTGTAAGTTAACGTAGTATCTGCTTGGTTTGGAGACGTTCGAGAATTCTTCCGTAATTGGAAACTAAAAGAAACGGACGCCCTTTTCTTCTTCGAGATGCGGACGCCACACCTCGCTCTCTTGATTTGCTCATTTGTTTCTATGTGATGTTAACTCCTATCTCTCGTTCGATTTGTACTCTACCTCACGCATCAGTTTGGGGAAATCTATAACCTTTCCCACCGTGTGCGTCCAAAGGGATTTTATATCCCAAGGTGAAATAAATTTATTTGCGATTCTCGAACTCCCCGTCGAGAGAGAGTAGCGCCCACCCACTGTGTCGTTATTTGGGGTCGCTCGGTTTTTGATGGGGGTGACTGAACACTTCCCCTGCCACGCGCTCGTGATCGATACCGCGTTGTTCGATCTCTCGTAAGCGAGTAACCCAGGGATACTTAAGAACCGAGTTCTCCTCTCGAGGCAAAAATCACCCGTGAAATTGAAAGCACAGTGTTTCGATTTGATATCGTGACTCCTTCGAGGCGAACGACGAACATTGAAGTTTGCCGTCTCATGAATAAGTACATTTACATAATTTCTTTATGATCACGATGTAAAGTATTCGTTCTCGCTCGTGCGATTTAACCTTCTGCCGGCAACTTGTTTTAGTACCTTCCGTCCGCAATGTGAGCCTTTGAGAGCCAGTGCACGTTTTTACACTATTCCAGATTGCATACAAATTTAAGAAAATTCTCGTATATTTTTGAAAGCTTTAATAACAAGTTTTTGTAGTCGCAGCGGAGGGTTAATATTGATTTACTATGATACACGAATTAGAGACACGAATCGACGTTGCGTTTTCATTGTCATCCCCAATTCCCCCTCGTATTTTCGACAATTTAGACGCGACATGTGTAAAAATGATACTCGAGTGCGCGGACGTTATCGACAACACTTCAGTTTCACTGGCGTTTCTCAACGTGTCGCTGCAATTTAGACCGGCCACGTGTGCGAGCATGCAAGCGTGCGGCGTCATCGCATGTCGTTGCATTTTTAGAACGATAATGCCGCGCGGAATTAAAATGTCGCTCGTTTCTGCCCATGCAAAAAGAAAAGAACGCGAAACGAAAGATTACGTCCGTCCAATTTTTTATCCGACATTTTTTCTTCAATTCGCATCGCGTGTTATTCGGGTGGAATAATTTTATGATATCCGTGAACTTCGCGAGGTACTTTTCGTATCAGAGCAGAGTATGGGAAATGTTCAGCTGTTCCACCTGTTATTTGCTCCGACGTGATGACGTATGCCGTACGAGCGACGACAGGGCGAACTGTTTTTCGCATCGGCGAGCAGTACGGCAGCGGCGCGTACTTCTCCTTTTCGGCAATGTTTCATTCAAGAAACCGGCACACGTCTACTAACTCGATGCATCACGCACGATACAGTGAGGCTCACCGTTTATTTGCGGAACACGCGNCCCCCCCCCCATGTTTGTCCATCGTCTCGAATTCCTCTCCTCTCCTTCGCCCCTCTATTCATGGGGGAAAGTGCGCCGCACGTTGCTTACTTTGCACGCGAAAATATATCTTCCGATAAATCATACAACGTTCGCGTCTTTACCCGATCAGACAGGAAACCGGAGCGGATGTGGATCATCGAGTGTAACTAAAATTCATCTCTCAGCATTTCGCTACAGCATCGGGCCGTATTTCTTCCCTCGGACGGGGGAAGACTGTGTATGAAATTGCGAAATATGGACGTTACTTTGATCGAGCGAAAAAGCTACTTCAACGTCGACTAGTTATCGCCTCATGCGATCGGTCGGTTTTTCCCCCTTTCTTTTTCCTTTAATTTGATGAACTCATCGCGCGTACGCGCGTTGAATGCAAATATGAAGGAAATGTTATCGGAACGGCCGCAGCTTCGACGGACAACGCGCGGTCAAGAACCGCCGGGTAATGAGAGGAAGCGCTTAATTAATTACCATCCACCTACGACGTCCTCGTTTCTTGCCGTCCGGTAATTGAAGAGTACCGACACACATCAAACGTTCACGTATCTACGTAACTCTTCGTTCATCTCGCCTTTTCAGATCTCCGGCTCACTTTTTCGCGCTTTAATTACGCGGGTGTCTAAACTTTTGCCGATAATGGCCCAAAAGCCGCTGTTAATTATAGGTTTTTTTCACTTCACTGCATTGAGAGGTGCGAGAGTAGGCGTCAACCGTGACGGATATATTCCACTATATTCCCGAAAATAGATTTTATGAGTTGTGAGCAGATTATGATATTACTGATATAATATTGATACTTTTTCTTTCAATGCAATATTTTTGTACTGATATTTTCTTTCGATATTCATATCCATATCAATACTACATTGTTTCGATATCTTTTTGATATATATATATATATTTTTTTTACTTTTTCACTTAGTCAATCGCATGCCAAAAATTGTAAACGGTATACGCGTGGAAATAAAACAATACACAAACAAAATGACGACTCGTGATCGATACAGCACACTTGTAAAAATGTCCAGACGCTTCCCTCGTCTGGACGACACATCGTCCATGCTCTAGTGTGCAAATTGGTAAAGCAGATTCGCGATATTTAATATCTCGAATGCCCGACGCAATCGTCCGCTCGTTAAATGAAATATTTGTTAAATGAAGCAAACAAGAAATAATGCATCGTGTAGCTGATAAATTGTCCAGAAGATACGTGAGTTGATACGCGAGTCGATACGTTTTCATCGGGACGGAAGTCCATGCATGTTTTTGTTCACGCGTGTATTTCGAACGTGCTTGTCATTCGCGCCGGCTGTAAACACGATCGCCGAGCGTGTCCTCGCGATTCCGCCTTTAGCAATCCCGGACATTATTGAATCTCGCTCGATAAATCACGCTCGCGCAAGATCCAAAGATCGCGGGACTCGTGTCGGACGGATGTCGGACGATCGATTAGCCAGCCTCCCGGCCGGCACGTGGTTATTGAACCATCCTCCGGTGGTGTCTTCGTGGTTTGTAGGAGATAATCGAACGTAGCCGCGCAGGTGGTGCACACTCGAGAGATAGCGGATATGGCCGTTACGTCATCGCGTCCAGCAACTCCGCCGTTAATTGACGCTCGACTTGGCTCCGTACCGCAGCGATACGACGCGACGTGGCTACGTGAAAAACAGAATTGTGCTGTGGACCACGAAATTACGCTGCCCGAAACAATTACGGAAATCGCTCCCGCGGACGATTCCGCCGAGCGGACAAAATGCCAGCCATGTGAAAACAACTAAAATAACGCGTCCGCATAAACCCCGTACGATCGGCGTCAATGGTATCCGGTGCGTCTGCGTTCAGTCGACCAATTCTTTTTTTTAATTACATTTAAGAGATACATTCTCTTTCCTATTTTACACGATTTTACACGATTACATCACGATTAGAGGACCGCCAAAGTTCTGAAATCGGTACAAAGGTATATAATAAACGCACGAAATAACGTAATTTCAGTACTTCTATCTTAACCTTTTGGTATTTTCTCATGTATCAACGGTATATCGGTTTTTGCGACCTAATTTCTAGAAGCATCAGTCCTCAAGCACTCTAAGAAATAGTTACTCGCAAAGGGAATATATAATGTTTTTCATAAAACATATATTTTGTCGCTGGTTCGCAATCACGTACAAATTTTAATTTTACACCTTCAACAGTGTGCTTCATAGAATCACACGGTACAGAAATTACAATTTAATCCTTATATTTTGCGAAAGTGACAGAGAAACTCGGCGAATCGCGAATGTAAGCGAATCGGACGGAACGAACGGGCCCGAGGAGAAAACGAGATAACACAAATTAAAATTCATGACATACGAATTACATTGTATAAGTTACGTGGCTCGCGTGATCACTTGCCCCGTCGCGAGTAGGGACGGCATTTGCGAATGTTGTAACTAACGCTGGATATGCAAGCTGGTCAAAGAGTCAGTAGTCGCGCGTTCGTGATGAAAGCGGGCGAGCCCGGCGGGTCGCTGCCACACCGTGTATATATTTCTGTCTTCCGTCCCTGCATTCCTTCTCGTATGGCACACAACGACCCTAACCCTTCGTTACAGTTATGCATTCACGTGTAACCCGCACCTCGGTTTCTCCTCCCCCCTTCCCCGCCCTTCGTCCCTTTCTCTCCTTTTTCTCCCTTTGCCCTTTCCTTTTGCTCTTGTCTTCCTACCTGTGCGCCTTTTACCTCTTATCTCCGAGCATTACCAGCATCGTTGCAGGTATTTACAACGCGTCCCGTTCTCGAATGTGAGCTTTACACGCACACGCGTTGCACATCATAAACGTGCAACGCCGGCCACGCAATCTTTATTTCCACAAATATGATACATCTACGCGGTGTAATAACGTGTCAAAGGCGCGGCTCAACCCCCGACTGCGTTCTCATTGACGGATATATTCTTATTTTTTCTCTCTTTTTTTTTTTATAATCGCACTTGGGTCAAGAGAGAGAGAGAGAGAGAGAGAGAGGCCGTGTGCGGGACGGCGGGAAATGATTCGAATTACTCGCACCCGCTGTGCGAGTTAAAGAGAAATACGTTTCGACGAGAGACGCGTTTCTTTGCGCGTCCGCACGCGTATATGCGTCTCTCATTATCCCTCGTTATACCGCGAAGCGTGTAAACGAGCGAGCCTCGGTTATCTCGCGAACCGCTTTACGACCGTCGTCGTAAAGAAAACGGGGCGCATTGACATTCTCTTTCTCTTTCTCACGAGGGTTAACTTTGCGACGGTTACGACGATTCACGAAGCGTAATTGCGTCACGCTAGAGGTAACAATTGAATTACCACAAACGCGCGCTTTAGCGCGCCTTAAGCGCCGAAAAACCGTTCGCGGAACGCGTTTCTATTACGAGCAGGAAATTGACGGCTACGGCAGTATTCAAGCAGTCGCAATTACGTTTGAGTTACACGACCGATCCGTCAACAAGAGAGAGAGAGAGAGAGAGAGAAAAGGAGAGAGTGGTTCGATCGTTGACGATACGACGTCGCACAATCCCTCTGCTCCCTTCGAAGCGCGATCGTTTCCAGCGAATCGTCGTTTCGCGTCTTTTCTTCTTCTTCTCTCTTTCTATTCTCCTCCCCTCCCCTCCCCCCCTCTTTTTCTTTCCCATCTTCTCGTGTTTTCCTCGTAATTTTCTATTTCGTAATGTATCGCACACATCTAACTGGTTTTTACTTTGTGCGTGTGTTTCCGTGTGTTACCTGCCGCACCACGACGACAGATGGGGACCAAGTCTCGCCAGAGAAAGGTAATTTTTCTATTTTCCACACGCAAGTCGCAAGCCTGCCGATCGATACTTTTTTTCGTCGACGTGCATGTCGGCATGCTGACACGGTTGTACGATCGTTTTCTCCTCCTCTCTCTGACATTTTTTCCCCTCGACCCTACCGTGTGTCCAATTGTTCGCTGTAAAAATCGTCGTATGTGTGTGTGCTTTCACAGCGTCATGTGATCGAATCCCTGTCCTACGGAGATGCACATGTCGGGACTAGTTACGACGAGAACGCGATTTTTTTGTTAATCCGAATGAGCTTTTTATCATATAAGCTCGACGGAAAACTATCGTTCCGATATGTATACTTCAATTTTAAATATTGCACTCGTAATTTTCCATTATCAATTTTCTATTACCGTGTTAAATGTATTGAAATCTGCGGTGAAGTAAAGTGTAAGGACGCGCTTTTCAAACTCTCGTTTCGAATATTCTCTCGTAAATTTGCAATTTCATATCCAATTTGCGCAGAAATTTGCGGATTCTGCCGATTACGCGTATCGGCGAATAAATTCACGGGAAACTTAATTCCGAGCAATTTTTTTTAAACTTAATTAATTCGTGCTATTTCGTTCACGCGCAAGTGTCGTTTTTAAGCGCACTAAATAACTCCCTCTCCCGCGGATGTCACCGATAAGCGTAATAAAAAAGGAAAAAGAAAGAAAAAAAAAACGCTTCAGGAGCTCCGGAAGCGTTGGAAGCTCATCGAGCCGATATGCTTTCAGTCGCCTCTCCCGCGCGGCTATCCGCCCCCATCTTCGACGATGCTCTTCGATGACGACCCGGGCATCATGTCCGAGGTGGAAACCTCCAGCACTGGATTTCGGCGAGGTGGCAAGCAAAGGAGCAGCTTGCCCGTCGTACGAACACCCAGTAAAACTCTGGAGCGACCACTAGGTAATTCACGAAATGCACTTATGATTCAATAAATATAGAAATCTACGAACGTATGATTCGTTCGCGAGCAGATCAACCAGTGATCGATTTCAGCCTGTTAAATTATTATGATATTGTTACAATTATTATTATACCCATATTATCTACTATCTTTCCTCGGCACGATTCTGCTGCTATAAAAAACCGTCGATCCGCGTAATAGAATGCGTTTATAAGAACACGACAGTTTGACGGAGGCTTGAAAAAAATAACTCCTATGTATCGATATATTTATACGAAACATGTTTCGGCCGATAGTATTGACACATTTCGTCGACAAACCAATGTACCTTCTCCTTTTCTGTCACCTGACTCCCTAGGATTGGTGTTCCTGCAGTACAGGAACGAGACGAAGAGAGCGTTGCTACCGAACGAGATTACCAGCATAGACACCGTTAAAGCTCTCTTTGTCAGGAGCTTCCCGAAACAACTGACTATGGAATACCTGGACAGTCCTCACGTAAAGGTTTACATACACGACAGTAACAAGGACATGTTCTACGAACTGGAAGATGTGAGGTAAGATCCTTACGACATCCGCGTTATCTAAGCCGAGCTTATCTCGCGGGAATACGATCGGATAGAGTTCAAGTTAACTTAATTTCAGATACAAAAATCGTTCCTTTCTGAAGCGATCGTTATTCCTATCGCCTACGTGTCATAACAAGGGGAATACGCTGTCACAGTTTAAAAAAAAAAAAAAAAAGAAAAAAATCGTCTTGGCTTTCAGATCGCACCTGAGAGACATCAAAGATCGCAGTGTTCTGAGACTTTTCGAGAGCGCCGATGGGGTAACAGGAATGCCTGGGCCTTTGGGGGTGCCAGGTGGCGGAGGTGGCCTGCCACCCCATTGGGAGGATCAGAGCTACTTCAGTGAGCCGGAATTCGACAGCGAATATCAGCATCAGCACATCCACAAGAGCAAGGTAAGTGCGCGTTAACGAGATTCCGTCCTTAGTCTGACGCTTTCATGTCCTCCGTCGAAAATGAGACCGAATCTACTCGATGGAAAAAGAGTGACGCAACGCTCGTACGCCCTACCAGTGCAGAGGGCATCAGCGCAATTACGCGCGCTGTGTCGCCTCCGAAAGAACGTTTCCCCGCGTCACATCGGCTCCGACCGGACGCTGATCGATTAAACAAAGGACCAGGTCGCAACGATTCATAAAAATTTATTCGGTACAGATCACACTTACGCAATAAAGAAGAAGTAATATCACTAGAGCTAAGTCTTGAGACCAAGACGTACGTCGCTGATCGATCGAGTCTCCCCTCGCGTCGTCTGGTTCGATCGGTCAACGCGCACCTTGAAACCACTTTGAGTATTCCGTTGATAGTACGCACGATCGTCGTAATTCGCGACCGGTCTCCGCCCGATACCTCACGAAGTAATACTGTCCTACATTACGCTGACGAAATGACCAAATACTCTCTATATTTCTCGGGGCGGAATTTCATTCCAAACGAGTGAGAATTCGCTTCAAACGACACTGTCACTCGAAATGGAGTGACATTTCACTTCTCGCGAGAGTGACGAAGCTCCAACCGTAGAATGAGTGTTTCACTCGTTTGGAATGAATTCTTTTAACTCGTTTAGAGTGAATTCTTCTAATTTATGTTTTTTAATGTAAAGTATTCTTCCTTCATTACGTTATTCTAATTGTTAGTGATTTTATCTAAAATTTTCTAAAATATCGATAATATTGAAAAGAGAGCGGAGGAGCACTTGAAATACTTTTATTCCAGTCCCGTATGAAGTGTAAATAAATTATGAATAGAAATTACGAACTAAAGAAAGTGACATAACGGCGATAGGATGATTACAGCTCGATGATCTCGTTATTTATAACACGCGCTGTTAAATTAGGCTCGATATAAAATAAAAATATTCACTCCGCGGCACCGAGTGAAAATAGTCCGCGTCACAGGGTGGAAGAATTCACTCCGTGAGGGCGAGAAGTCGCTCTAATCCGAGTCGCTCGACTTGTCGCTCCATTTTTTCGCGCGCAGCTGGAGATTTCGCAGGAAATCCAGAGAGTACCTCGCTCCGTGAGAGAGCTGCGCCCGATGATTTCTGCTAATTAAATAAATCTTATTTTTCGACATACGGATTACATGTCGCGCTCGACGTGTTTTCACCGCGCGTCACACCAGTCTCGTCCGCGCGGAAAACGTCCGCGCTCTCGTAACAACTAAAAGATACACAGCGACTGAAACATGGCGTGGGATGCCCCTTGTAAAGGCTCTCGAGAGATCGTCGTTGGTCGGCCGCGCGATTACCAGCGCGATCCGTCGAATTCGCTGACGATTTCGCGATGCAGCGTGTCCCGAAACGTCACTCCTAGCACACGATCTGCCGCGCGCGTCTCGCCGGCGCCTTTAGAACGCCTTGCACGCCGGCACCGCCGGCAAGAACAACGCACCGGAATACAGCTTCTTGGGCACCGACCTCCAGCTTATGACCAGCGCCTTCTCGAACGGCTCTTCGGCGCAGCCGTCACATACGTCCATCACTTGCCTGACCTCGGCCTCGGCCGGTTCGCGTTCGTCCTCCTCGTCCGTCCACTTGCTAAGATGCAAGCCGAAATTCATCAGGCCCGAGAAGTAATCGTTGTCCAAGCCTTGAGGGATGGAGTATCCGTCGTCGTAGAGCGTCCCGTCGCCCAACTGCAACAGCCCTCTCTTCTTCTTGTCGGCTTCTCGTTTGCTCAGCTCCTTCTCATCCGTGACTTCCGATCTCGGCACAAAGGTCACCTGAGGATTACGAGAAACGTAAAGTCGGCCGTGAGCGTAAATTGTGCGCCGCTGAAGTGCGAGAAGCCACTTGCGAGAACAGTAACGGGGTTTAATTCTTCACGGTGACTTTCGGCGGAGATTTTCTCCCCGGTGAAACTTTCATCGGACGCTTAATTCAACGACGGATCATGTAACGAAGGTAACGCGGACCGCGGAAGTCACCGCCGGATTCGCCATCGTCGATGATCTTCGCGCGGCAGCGAGGACAAAGCTCTCGGGAATGTGGAAGATTGAAAAACTGGAAGATGCGATTAACTCGCCGTGGATTCTTCTCCGCTGCGTGGTTGTAATGAAAAGTCGGAGGATCCTTACGTGCGAGCGAGTCGTCGAGTGCACTCGCCCGGTATTATTTCCACTCCGATTCGCCGCGTAATCTTTTAATTTCCTACTTTAAGTAGGTCGGAAGCTGAAGAGACTTAAAATTTAACCGTTCGCCGACGCTCCTCAAATTACTTCGGGAACGTACGCGTATATAGTCGAGATACTAATATCTTTCAGAGTTTAAATTCAGAAAAATATTCAGTGAATTAGCACAAAAGTATATCCGTTCCTTTCTGTCATCGAGTTATGATGCGACGCGTTTACGAGAGAAGAGAAAGGATATTTAATAAATTATTAATTAAACTATAAAGACTTTAGGAATTTTTTGACACACATTGCGAGCACCACACACACACACACACACACACGTGTGACGCCACGATCTCTCGCGGAAGATCGACGTCACATGTGTGTGATTTTCCGTTCTACGTCCACGTGAAGAAATTAAGCCCATTTGACGGTATTACGTATAAACAAAGTACAGTGATCTATGGAAACGATTGAAAGAACGATAGCGGATATATTACGATGCTTAATTTGGTTTCCCAGTTAGTTCCGCATCCTTCATAGGTTTAATTCCGAAGTTTCGTGAACATTTCAGCTCACTTTTTCAGGGAAGAGCGACCCGAAACTCTGATATATCAGGCTCGGGTCGTTGCTCTCCTTGAAAAGGTGACCTGCAATTGAAAACCAAATTAAGCGTAATTTAAGTATGAATGCTCCCGAAATTGGCAAAGACAGGATACATTAGGTCATGTTTTACTATTCTTCGGAGCAGTCATATTTAATTTAACCTTAATTTGCTTCCCAATTGCAGTGCGCTTCCACAGGGAAAGCGACGACCTGAAACTCGATATATCGGAGTTTCGGCTCACTCTTCTCTTCCTGAAAAAGTGAGCTGAAATATTCACGAAATATCAGAGACAGCGCCACTAACTCGAGAGCCAAATCAAGCACATCGTCGTTATCGTCCAATTAGGCAATCCCATCTACAGATCACTGTACTTGTTTGATACCGTAACAGCGACCAAAAGGACTTAATTTATTCACATGGGCATAGAACGAAAAATTATCCCGTCTCTATCTAAGTTAATCATTTCGAGGATGCTCTTTTAGGAGTTGTATTTTCCTAGAAATTTCCCAACATCGATCGTCGCTCATTCTCAAACAAGACGAATACGATTTGATCGCCCGATTGCTCTCACCTTGCCGTCGGAGCTGCCAGGTCGCGAAGTTTTCTCGATGTCTCTCTTGGCGACGGACTTCTCGACCAAGCTCGACACCACTGTCTCGTCCTTGAGGGTTCGCCGTTTCGACTCGCTCTTCTCTCTCTTGAAGAGATTGTGATAGCTCCCGTCCGGGAAAAGCGACGACGATCCGCCGGCGGTCGGCAACTGCTGCTGCAGCGTCGGACTGCCGAAGAATTGCGTCTGCAGCGCGGGGAACGTCGTCGAGAGAACATCGAGATTCAGGGGCGGAAGCGGCTGCGGGGGCGATTCCGGCGCCGGCGGTAATGCGGGATGACGAATGGTTAGACCGTTTTGTACGATCTGAATCGGCGCTCCCGGATTGATCTTCACCTGGAACCACGTCGGTCGTGCGCCCATGAAATATTCACGAACTATTTGAGCGTGGCGGAACGTGGGTGGCGAACGAGCGTCGAATTTCGAGAAGGCATCAAAGACGCGTTAAAGACGCCCTAATTTTTTGCGCGAGCGTCCTTCGGACGTCTTTTCTCAGGGCTCTCTCGCGAGCCCCCGCCGGTTGCTTACGATAACGCTAATTAAGGCGCAGAGTGACGGTAATTAGCCGAATAATAAAAGGCCGGTTGTCGACCAAGTAAGGGAACGTAATTATACTTGTGCATTGATCTGTCCCCCGGTGAGGAAGGGATGCGGCGGCAAAGGTGGTCCGGTTACGGGCGCTCGCGTGGTGCTCCTCGGCGTGTTATTACTCGTATCGTGTTCGTAATGATGGGCGTGATGGTGCTTGTGATCTTTGTGCGCCTTCCCCGCGGTCAGGGCGACGTTGTACAGCTGCAGCATCGTCAGCTCCCCCAGATAGCCACCGGAGCCTGAAAGGGGAATTATACATGCCATTGTCGTGTCATGTCTCGATTATCCAGCCGACATGAAATTTTCGTTCCAGTTTAGCCCCACGAGCACTTCTTCTTAATGTTATAAATGTCTGCTTGTCGCCGTTTCATCGAGACTTTTAGATAAACATTTAAGAATTATTTGACATTCGATCATCTCAATGGTTTACTTGCACTTAATCTTTCTTGATTTTTAATTTTGACGGGCAATAATTCAATTATGTAACTCGATCAACCGCACGCGGAGTATTGCGATAAGCAAATATTAAATGAAAACAATGTAAAATAATCTGAGATTATATATAACAGACAAATTGACAAATAATGCAACAGACTTCCTTCATTCATGATGTGTTATTATTTTTCGATATTAGAGATTTCGACTGAAATTTCGGCGTTCAAACGAAGCGAAAAAGAAGACAGTTATGAGATTCGTCACTAACTGTCACTACATCCTGCGTCCTGTGATCCGTCCAGGAGGAAAATTTCGACGAGGGGCGACGAAATGACGTGACGATATCGGTCAAACTGTTGGATCGAGTTATAAATAACTTCAATTTCTCTTCTCCCTTGAAATGGATTTTCGTGTCGAACATTTTTACAACGGAGTCTGCCCCAAGGTGTGTACGTGTCGCTATTAACAAGGACGCGCGTTCCCAACCAAGAGGCAGCTTATCGACTTCCTCCGCGAGTGTTCGCAAGAAACAAATATTTGCTATCTTCATCGGGAAGTTACTTACGACTCGACCCAATATTTTCAGAAGTTATCAATGTAGCGGGGAAAAAAAGAGCGTCTTACCCGGTGGTGCGCCTTTGCCCTCTAAGAAGCCACCGCCCAGCTGTCGTTGCTCTTGTCCCGAAATAGCAATTCCGCCGCCTTTGATGACGTGCCCGACTAACTGAAATAACCAACGACGATACATTCCTTGATCCTTAAAATCTGGAAAATATTTTGCGATAATTATCGAGATAGAAAGAGAGAGAGAGAGAGAGAGAGAAAGACATTTGGCCTCGGCGATTCGTACAGTTGAGACAGATTTCTGAGCCTGATCTAACCGCCTGATTTAACCGATCGCTCGACGAAAGTCCGTACATTAGCCGATGCGTGCAGCCGACGTAAATAGAAGAAACGAAAGTTGGGATGGTCCCCGGCCTCGCGAGATATATAGCGCACCGCCGGGATAGATTGCGCATCCGCAGCCGAGCGGCGCTATATGGAAATTTAAATTGGTTTCTGTCCTTTTTCATTATTTGAAAGTAACCTTGGTATCCTCGAATGAGAATATACATATAACGCGATATGGAATTCTATACCTTTCCATTTCCCGTTTATTCTGTTCCGTCGCCATTCTTTTCCATTTCGTTTCTGTCCGGCGCAATCTAGATAGAGGGGGGGAGCCGCCTGTCTTGACGGCTCCTGCGCGATTAGAACGAACGGCGAGTGTCTTTCGTGCTTAATTGCCGTACCTCTCGATCCCCCGCTTGTTATATCCTCTCACATCCACTCATTGTTGCATACTCTAATTTGGAATCGTTTAGATAACCAGAGCTGTGCTCGACCATTTGTATTATTTATCTAGCATTGTGTATGTGTGTATATTTTCACATTGGCTAACGTCACCGCTTATACCTTCGAGCGCGCGCGGCTGTCAAGAAAATCGCGCGACGACACGACATCGCGCGACTTTCGCGTGGGAAAGGCGCGCGGCTGAGCGCGACACATTCGCAAACGTGACCGGTGTGCTGAAAAACGTCGGAAGCAATGTTCGTTCGAGAAATTCCTGGCAGCTTTAACATAAATGATAATTAAGACGACTGAGCGCGACGGGGGGATTTTTATGTAACTCTGAGGTACTGCTGTGCGAGAAGGCGGCCTCTCCCTACCGTTGAACGGAATGTTTCCTCTTCTCTTATTACGAGGATAATTCGCCCGAGACGCTCGCGGAATGTTAATAAAACCTTAACACACGCACGCAATCACGGGAGAACCGTGGCGCGTACTCGTTTCTTCTTCCGCGAGAATTTAATTAGCCGCCCATTCGTGACTTACGCGTGAAATTTGCACTTCTTTATTAGACGCAGAAAAAAACGCGTCCGCGCGCTCGTCTTTGTATTAATCGCGCGGGAATTAAATTTATCTGTCTCGAAGAATTTCCCAGCGTGACGTTCCTCGTCGTGAAATTTCTTTCACGGCGCACGAACTCCGACGCGAGAATAATCTCGCGAACGGAACGATTAATTAATCTTTCTCATTTCGATGAATATTTCCACATTCAACATTACGTTGGGTTGCATTATCTCGAAATTGTTTTAATGTAGAAAGTGTGTCTTATTTTTGTCATCGAGGAAGTTACCCGGATGTCGAACAGAAACGGAAAGCAATTTACGTAACTCTCCGTGATGGAATTAGCGGCGGCCGGATATCCCGCGCCGCAGTAGTAAAACCACGCGTACAGTCAGCCGAGCGCGCGTTTTATCCGCGTACAATCGCTCCACAGCGCATACGAACGGCGACACTTTTCAATCATTAATTGATTCCACGTTAATGCATTCATTCGGCGCGCGACGTGACCTGCAATTTCATCGCGGTTGACATTCGTATCAGAAGCTGATTGTGCGGTATAATTAGACATGCATGATTGCGAACATATCGTGCGCGCGTAGACCAGCACTTTGATTTATGCGCTACATTTACAGAAACTTGTTTAGATATTCGTACTTATCGATTCTAATCATTTCAAGAGAATAATCGGGAATAGGCCTTTCTGTAATTGTTATAATATAATTATGTGTATATATATATTAAAAGAAAAAAGTTCTACGTTTAAATAAATATTTATTAAAGACTATCGGAGTAATTATTTTACTTGGATTAAGTAAATATTACTTGAATGTAACACTTTTTCTTTTCCACTGTGCTATATTTAAGTAAAAGGTATATATTTACATGATCCAAATGAAATGATTATTCCAATACTCCTCAGCAAATATTTACTCGAATGCAGCACTTCTTTCCTTCAGTGTGTGATTAGCGGAACAATCGTAAACCTCGACTCAGAGATCGACACGGAGCGGATCTGTGAGATTTTATTTTCAAGTGTACCAAGGACAATGCGGCCATTCGCGCGTTCGCCCCCCTCGCAGCGACCCAGATTCGCTGCACGAGAAATGCAATCTGAGAAACCGCACGTTTCTTACGTATTATCGGCCATCGTAGCCTCGAAATTGCTCGTCGGCGATCTGTCGGGTGAGATTTCGTGACGAGTTCTGGGGACGACGCAACAAGCTAGATCCGACGATCCTGTCGCGTAATTGTAAGTAGGCCTATGTCGTAATACGTCCCCACGAAGATGAGGAACAATTAGCTTCTCTGGAGCGCGGCTCAAGTTACGACGTCTTCGACGGCCTCCCGGCGAAGTTCTAATTCGCGTGTAAACGTAAGTGGCTCAGCGCGAACTTCGGAGACGGTACGGCGGAGCAAAACCGCCGACTTTCAGTTTAGAAAGAGGAGATCCTTTGCTCATCTCTGGGTTTACTTTCCAACTCGGGACTTCGGCAGAATTAATCGTCGCTCCGAATTTCCTGATATCGTATAACCGGAAAGCCCGGAAATCTTTTCTCGGCGAGAAGATAACGTCGAATCGACGATATCTGAGGACATTTTCGCGAATTGAAAACGGAGTCTCGGAGACACGGAAAGACTGCGGGCCGTTGTTCATCGTTCCGATCATTTAAAACGGCGTGATTTCAATCCCCGGCTGTTTACACGGCTCGACAACACGTCGTACGATAAAATCATCATTTTCGCTCGTCAAAATTACACCGGATCCTCTCGAGATGTTTGACTGACGGAACTTCGGCCCCGAATATCACTGAGAATCACACACGTGGCATGTTTACTTTCCACCAACTCGATATATATATTTGTTTATTTATTTATCTAAGAATGCGCGCGCGCGAGAAGACGGAGAGCGCTGGGGGGTCAAAGGCAACATAAAATCGTGCTTACCCTGTTATTGAACCCGCGACCTACGCGTTCGTCGTTGACCCAGATCTGCCACTCCCCGGTGCGACCGTTCCAGCTCTGGCAGGAGTGGTACCACTTATTAAGTCTTAGTGGATAATTCAATCTGTACAAGTTGTGACCGTTGACGTTAAGCATGTAGTACGAGCTTCTTGGCGTGTTCGCCACCCACGACATTATCCCTCGTGGCTGGTCACCGACTGGAAGTCGAGGGTGCAAGCATTATTATGTTAAAGATTTAACACCAAAATTGTAACAAGGACCGATTTTGACACGAGTACAAAGTGTCTTTACTGTGTATAGCGCGGACGTAACGTCGTTACTGGAAACTATGGTAAAATTAATGAAACTGCTAACGGTTAATGCGTATGAAATTCCGAGACATTACGTGACTGCGTTTCGTGTCCTTTCGGAGGAAAGGACGCCGATGCCTGTTTCTCTTCAATTTTCAGCCGTGAAGGAATCTCAGACGTTCATAATCGTTACGATAATTCCAGGTTTCCTGCGCTCCACTGTAAATTCGGTCTTTAATCGCCGCATAATATGTGCTTTCGAGAGATTCGCAAATTGCAAGACTTCTCTGTCTAAGTTGAAGAGCTGGAGAAACGGACCTCGGCCTTTCTATCCAGTGAAGTTCTCGCACGCACGTGTACGAGACACTTCTATTTTTCTCGCCCCGTGGCACCCCGTGGCGGTATATATATTCGCGCTAAACGCTATTGATTCTGAAAACCGGCGGCCGTTTTCAGACACACGGATGCGCGAAGGGAAGGGACTTATTGTCGTTATATTTATGACACCGCGCGTATCCGCCTATTGTCACGCTCGCGTGCACCTCGGTAGGGAGGGGGGGGGGGGGGGGG